TTGTTACAATAGCGCTAAGGAACCTATTGATGTATTTCATTGAAACAACTTGTACAGTAATGCCAATTGAGATAATTCATTAAAAGGATACTGAAATGAAAATAGAAAATGATTTAGTCACACCTGTCCAGTCGGAAAGCATATTATTTTATGACTTTTTCTTCATTATTCTGACAGTGATAACTGGCAGTAAAATAGATAACAAAGGAAGAGACCTTTTAAAAGAGAAAATGTGACAAGTACATTATATTTTTCTAATCTGCCTATAATCTAAATTAAAAAGAAAAATGAACATACATGACAACTGAAAACATATATTTGCAAACGAATACAAATTTGACTGATAATTATAGAGTATTTATTACCATTCAGGTTGGAAAATACTGTATATGGAGAAGATTTATCCCTAAAATGTTCATTTTTATAAAGTCATTTTAGTACATAAATAAAACTCTCCCCTTGTCCTCAATATATACATGTAGTTCAAGAATGACGCTGATCATTTTCTCCAAGGCAATAGTGTTTCTTTTTATTTGAAAAGGTTTCTATCTTAAAACAGCTTTTTAAAATAAAGTTTTATGTTAAAACAATCATAAAATTTCAAGTTCCAAAGTATCATACCAAAAGTTTTTCTGAACTACTTGAGAATAAATTGCAATCCTGGTACCCCATCATTTCCAAATATTTCAGTGTTTGTTTCCTATAGACAAGAACATTCTCCAACCAAATCAAAACACAACTATCCAAATTAGGAAATTTGCATTGCTACTTGGCTATCATCTAATCCTTGGATTCCATGCAAGTGGACTGATTGGCCCAATAATTTTTTTAATAGCAAAAGAAACAATTCAGAATTACTGCTTTTAGTTACAATGTCTCCTCAGTTTGAAATAACCCCTTAGTCTTTTCTTGACTTTCCTAATCTAATGTTTCTCATTTAATAATGCTTTAATGTAGCTCTGGTTTTAATTTAGATTTATAACTCAAGGGATTTTTTGTCTTAGAGAATTTCAGATAAGGTATATATTTCAATGACATTTATGAATAGTTGTATGTATGTTGTATGTGGGTCCTTAAGGCATTCTCACAAATACGGGGCATTTTTGTTTAAGAATAAAACTTACCATTATCACTATGTATATGCTGTTAGATTATTTCCTAAATAATTCCTAAATTTCATTTCATTTCATTTTTTTTAAGATTTATTTATTTATAGAGAGAGAGAGGGAGATTGCATGGTAGGGAGGGGTAGAAGGAGATGGAGAGAGAGAGAGACTCTCTAGCAGATTCTGTGCTGAGATGGAATCCCATGCAGGACTCAATCTCACACCCTGAGATCATGACCTGAGCCAAAACCGAGAGTTGGATGTCTAACTGACGGAGCTACCCAGGCACCTCCTGAATTTCATTTAAATATATTGTTCTATCCTTTCATTTTTATCTTTACGAATATTATGTTTCTTGACTAAATGTATAACATTTTAATAGCAAAAGCAAAGAAATAAGTTACACTACTTTTGGAGTTTCTTTAGTTGTTATAAATATTAATTTCCTTAATTTGAAATTATTTTCCTCCCTTGATGTGCCTTAGCTATTATGTGTAACTTAAAATCACCAGTGGGAGCATGTGTGTGTGCATGTGTATGCGTGTGTGTTTGTTACGTGTAGATTTAAAGACCTAAGCTCAGCTATCAGCTATTGATAGACTCATCTGATTAAAATATTAGATATTTCTTATAATTTTCAATGGAGAAAAGTAATCAAGTGACACAAAATGTCCAGGTCACATAACAGATATTTCTAATTGTGAGTCAATATATTGGCATTCTTATTTATTTATTATTAACTATTTATCAGATACTGATTTAGGCACTGGAAATCCAGCAGTAGCAAAACAGAGAAAAAAAAGTCTTCGTAACAGAACTTATGTTCTCCTGAGGAGATCATCTCTAAGTAAACAAAGAGTCAAAACAATTCAGAGAACCATAAATAATATGAACGAAATCAAAAGGAATAGTGGAATGGCATAAAGGCTAAGAAGGGACAAAAATATGCGATGTACTCTGAAGAGGTAAGATCTGAAGAAAGATATAAATCATAAGTCTAGCCATGCAAAAATTTTTGGTGAGAGAGTTCTAGATAGACAAATAGGTTGTGTAAAAACTCCCAAATGGGAAAAACTCATTTTTTTGCTTCCCCTCAAAAAATGTAATTTGGGAGATAATTCTGCTATGAGGACAATTATACCGTGAAATCTAGAAGTTTTCTTTTTGTTTATTTGTATTTTTCAGATATTCAATATCCTCAATTATTACACATAAGCAAGATCTACTGTTTCAGGGATTTTTAGGCAAATGTGTATCTGAGAAATTTAATTTTCTCACTCATTCATATACCTAGAAGAATGATCATAAAGAAACAGTTTATAATAGTAACTTGTATGTAGTAACAAAAAGAATTTGTCCTAGAATCTGCATATATCAAAATATGTTGTTATGTCAAAATATTAGTTTATTTAAAGGATACACATTTTAATGTAGGTTATTTTATAATTCTTACACATTTTCACATTTTGCACTGATTGACTTTTAAGACAAAATGAAAAGAAGAGAAAATCACTGAGGATGCAATATAAAGACTTAGCATCTTGTTTGTATCTCTAAGGAAAGCATGAGCTATCTCTTGTTGGAGTAATCATTACAAAACTAAAATTGTTGTTCCTAAAATGACATTTTTCCTTTATTTTCTTTGGAAGTAAAAAAATAAAGGATAGCAGAAAGCTCTCACATTTCTCTTAGTTACAGGTTTAGATTGGTGATTAGAAGGTGTTATATTTAATATATTGAAAAGTTTATTTTTATTCAAGACAAAACTTTATGCAATTCTCATTTTATAGACAGCAAAGCTAAAATATATTCTCTGTATTTTATTCATGGCCTTGGTTATTTAGATTATTGTCTATAAGTTAAAAAATAGCATACTAGATCAGATATAACTTTGAAAATGATTTTTTAAATGCAAAACTAAAATAACTATACAACTTATGCACGCATAACAGTCTGCCAAGGAGACCCAGTGTCATTTCTACACATCTCTACAATGTTTTTTAATGCCAGACATAGTTAATATAATTGCTATATTATATTAACTATATATATTATAGTATATAACTATATATTATATATAATATATAACCATATATTATATAACAATATATATTATATTAACTATATTATTATATTAACTATATAATAGTTAGTAGTCTAGTATTTTTACTCTGTTTGATAGTGTGCCACAATTTAAAATCCTACAGAATGCCCTTGCACCAACTATGAGCATCATTACTCATTACTATGAACTGTTAACACAACTACCTCATATTAAGTGCTTATTATCAATATATGGTCAGATTTTAATTTGCACTTAAAATTTCCATTTAGAAATATATATATATTTAAAAACCCGACAATCTGTGTCAGATTTATTTTATACTTACATCAAAACTATTATTTGAAAGCAGACGGGAAAGGATTTTCCTCCACATACTCATATTTTCTCTTTGATCTACACGTATACATTTAGATGAAGGGGACAACTGTTCTTTTACTGTCTGTGATTTGGTTTCTACTTAGCCATATATCCATTTTATTTTAAATGTAGACATTTAAAGCATTATGGATGGCAATGTTAGCAACTAGCTGCATTTGCAGAAGATTACTGCCAAACAAGTAATCCTCTCAACCATATTCCCATCATTGTTTATGCCCCCAACCTGGGAGAGGTGCCCTCCATTAGACCTATATTGTATAATGGTTTGGCTTAGAGAAAAGCTACTCAAAAGTGCAGGGTGTCCAGGTTTGGAGACATCTCCTCCTTTTCATGTTCTCTCTTTGTCTTCCACTTATGGGGGAATTAATAGATGTTTTATCTATATATTTTAAAAATGAAATCATATCATTATTGAAACTTTAATATTGCATTGACAGAATTTTCATATATAATATCATATATGAATGTATTTTAAGGTTTGTATTGATATTTTGGTTAAAAAAATCAATGAAATTCAGTCTAGTTAGCTTAGGGAAAGAATTAAAAAAACCGAGTTTTGGTCCTGCAGTAGAAAGGTCTCAAAGTCCTGCTTATATGTTGAAAAATTAATCACTGTACATCACTTTCTGCAATACTGTAGGAGGGTAATAATAGCAGTATAGTACTTTCAATAATTTAACTGTAACATATACAAGTCCTTTTGATTTTTTTGGGTAAAAAAGTTTCCCCATTTTAAATAATTTTTGACTTTCAAAAATGTTTTTTTCTGTACAAGACAAAATTCTATTATTAGACATGAATAAGGCAAGGCAGGATGAAACAAAGTATTTTGTTAAACTAAACATTGCATACAATTTGGAGGATTACTTTTCCCATAAAAATATCCTGTGCTTTTATATAAACCAAATTTTAAATAGACTAGTAAAAAGGGACAGTTTGAAAGAATGTATAAAATTTCTGACAAACCATTTTGGATCTTTAGAAAAATTTTAATCACTTTTATGAAATGTTTTTTCATATTCTTGATTTAAAAATTGAAAGCTATCACAGTCCGTAAATCAACTTGAAGAATTAGCAAATGATTAGATTGAACCTTTTGAAACTGCTGATTGTTTTCAGCTATAAAAATGTCAGTTTCATAAGTTTCAACGCAGTAACTTCCTGGTGTGCATGTTCCGCTATGAGAAGAACCTTAAACGGATTCTGCCCGCATTGACTTGTAATTACACAGTTTTATAAAGCACAATATATTCTTACTTAATATTAATCTTATAGTGTACTGTGCTTTTCAGGCTCTAGGAAAAAACTGTAGAAAGACTAACTCAATCAAAATGGCTAAGCCAAATAAAAATAAAAATAAGCCAAATAAAAATAGCCAAAATAAAAATAGTCCTTTTTTTCCTACTACTTAAAGTCACAATTCGAAATTTACAAAATACACAGTCACTTACTTTGGTAGAGTTTTCAAATGATTTTCTCTTAACTCCAAGATGCGCAATTTGACAAGTCTGTAAATGTGAATAAAAAAATTGCTCCTTAATATTTCTGTATAAAACAATATTCCTACAAGAAAGTCAGTTATCATTGCATTATCCAAACAACTATGTCTGAACTTTACATATCATGGTTACAGACTTTAAAGAATTATACAGATCGATTATAAGTAGAGTTGCATCAACATTGGACAATGACAAATACCGGTTTACTAAAAATAAAGATCATGCAAAGAGATCATTGGGTCCAAATGATCTAAATTTCATGTTTTATAAAAATATATACACTGTTGTTTAATTGTAGGTAACAGATTCTTTAATATCTACTTAATACTAGGTCCTGTGTTCACTGGAATATGGCAATACTCTCCCTCAAGAGACTCTAAGTGAACTTGTAAAGCAAATAATACAGCACACTAGTTAAAAGCTTGAGCTTTGTGGTCAGATGAAACTGGGTGAAATCCAGACTGTCATATTCTATCACTGTGACTCTGGTGCATTAATCAAACCCTCCTATTTAGGTTCCTACGTCTCACACTTACCTACCTGTTAAGTTCTACAGTGTGAGACACACTATTGTTAAAATGTCTATAACTGAGCTTTAAAATGTACTCCGTTGAGGCGACGTTAGAACAACTGTTAGGGGTGCCTGGGTGGCTCAGTTGGTTAAGTGTCTGCCTTCAGCTCACGTCCTGATCCCAGGGTACTGGGATAGAGCCCCGCATTTGGCTCCCTGCTCAGGGGGGCTGCTTCTCCCTCTCCCCCGCTTCTGTTCTCTCTTACTATCTCTTTCTCTCTCAAATAAATAAAAAAAATCTTTAAAAAAAGAACAAATATTAATTGGATTCTCTGAATTCTTGGTGTTTGGGGAATATTTCAGTATTTGAACTATTTCTCCCACATTTACTTGGCTTTTAGATATTCATCTAGGTCTCTTCCTTTTTTCTTTGTGTTTTGACTTTGACCAAGTTTCTAATTTAATTTTAATTTTAAAACTTTTAATTTCTATATTAAATAAAATGATTCAGTTATTCAGAGCATGGGTATATTGCTAGTAAAATAGGTTTCTTAAACATCAGTATGTCTCAACTCTTCTCAATATCTGTACTAGTATGAAGTTATTTTGTGACTTACTTTGGCTTTTAGGGGCACCAAATCTCACATTTTGGAAGGAAATTTAATAATTCTCCAGCTGAAGGTTAAAAATCGTTTTAGACTATAATAGGGCATGGTAGACTAAAGTAAACTTTAGTCTTTAAAGTAGACTTAAGTCTTAAAGTAGACTTTAGTAGACTAAAGTAGAGCATATCTTGGTAGACAATTTACACAAAATTAAATTCTAATTCCAAGTGGTTTTGGTACTATGTTTTCTGTTTGGCCAAATATCTTCCTTGACATTAGGACACTAAAAGAGAACTGAGAAAAATTTAAGACAAAGAAGTATGGTCTAGGGTGATAAATATTCTCCGATTTGATAATTCAAAAGATTTTGTATTGTTACAGTCAGTACCAGAAAAAAATGACAGTTTATATGAACAGATGTTGAAGTGCCAATTCATTTAGAAACTCGGCAAATGCTCTTTTGAAGATCTGTGAATTGTAAAAACCGTCTAACTATATGGTGTTCCTATGTGGTATGATATCATGATCTGCAAAGTAATGGAACTTGGGAAATGTTGATATACTCTCTGCATATAAAATGAGGCTGCTACATGTTAAGAGACTTAATTATTTTACTGAGCTCCTCTTCTTAACACCAACAGATACCCAATATAAATGTAAAATGTCTTAATTTTTAAGATGTATCTTTTAAATATAAAAAATAGTTCATTGTAAAATACCTGGAAAATATTGAAAAATTTGAAGATGAAAATAACAAGGAACCAGTCTTTTATCTCACTCATATATTATATTCAAATTGGTGAAATATAATTTATATATTTTATTAAAATATGCTCCTAAACATAACATTGGAATTAAAAAAATATTTCCCTAAACCGGATTATAAATTGACATACTATTATCATGGAGGTACCATAATATACTCAACTAATCTCCTGGACAGACTTGTGTTTCCACTTTTTTTCATATTATAAATAATGACAAATATCCTTGTTTATAAATCTTAGCGTAGTATCTGATAAGGATATCATACATTTCTAGAAATAAATTACAAAGGCAATAGTTGTAAATATTTTCAAATCTTTTAAAACATACTGTTATGCATGAAAGTCATAACATTCTGAAATTCCATCAGCTGTGTGAGACTACCTTTTTTCCTTGTACTGTATAAAGAATTTTTGTAATATGATAGAACATAAAGCTCTTTATCATTTTAATTCATATTATTTTTATTGTTTGTGAGGATAAACACTTCATGTATTCACTACCAGTTTGTACATTTAATCATGAATTCCTTGTGGATGTCATTTACTCACTTCTTTTCTAATGAGAACCTTGTCTTACTCATTTGTAAGAGTTCTTTCTATCTTAAGGATATAATTTGCTTCCATATATAGTGGAAATGTTTTCCCAGTTTATTGTTTTACCTTAATTTTAAAATATTTTCTGATATTATTTTATTTTAAATGTATTTATGTAGTCAAGTCTATCTACCCACTTATTGTAATTTCCTTTGTTTCTAAACTATAGAGGCATTTCCCAACCCAAGAGCCAGAAATATTCATGTGCATTTTTTCCAGATTATCTCTGACGTTATTTTTTGTATATTTAATTCTTCAATTCACCTGGAATTCATTTGATTATTAGTGACATGTAAAAACCAAATTTTACTTCATTTTGGAAAATGTTTCATTAAGTAACATCATCTCACTTAATGAATAATAATGACTCTTTAATCATAATTGTTACCTTTGAAGCCTCAACTACTGGCGCGGGTAACTACTCATCTAAAGTAAAATAAAATTTCACCATTTAAATTTTGTATTCTTACCTTCCAAAATTAGCTGGAAGAAATTCAAGAAAGGCGTCATTCAGGTAGAGCTGGGTCAGATTTAGAAGCTGCGTGAAGCCATCGGGGAGTCTAGAAAGGAGTTAAAGGTTTAGTCACTGCATCGATGTTGCCATAGAAACAGAACAAAAATATTTATCTCTAAGGAGAGAAAATAGAAGTGTAATACATTTTTCAATTCTCCTTTGGTATCATAGTAATGGAAGAATTTATTGAGCATGTTGTTACAGCTTGAAAATTTTGCCTGTTATTAAAATAAATGGCATTCACCCACCTCCACACTGTTCTCCTAGGTGGAGATTTATGTCACAGCGACATCATCTCCTACTGTTGCCCTAACCTTATGCACACCAGTGAGATATTTTTTATAGAAATTTCAAGTTGTATGCCATGTTTTATAATTTTAAATTTAATATTCTTTCTCAACAGAAAATTCATATTTATGGTCAGGCAAGGATATCTACGTACTCTTTCATGAAATCATTAACATGTGTCTATACTTTTTGTAATGATGACTAAAACTGCCCAAGAGGAAGGGATAAGTATTCTGACCCCCTAAGTGATAATGCATGTACACTGCAATTCAAATTTGTTCAATTAGTTTTTCACAAAAATGACCGAGAACATGGAAACTCTGACTACACAGAACCCTATGAGTCATTAAAAGAGTTGAAAGAAATATCCTTTGCAAAAATTTACCAGCTGGATGAAATAATTATTTGAAATATTTAAATATTTTTCACCAAAAAGATTTAACTCAATTTTCCTAGAGACTTATTAGAATATTTAAATTTACCTATAATTTAAACATTTTTAAATGCCTTTATCAATGGTCTAGACACTACAATGTTCTTTTACAAAATACCCCTAAATAATGTTCAAATTTGTCTTCATCTCAAATTACAGCCTACCTCCCTCCTTGAGTTTACTGACAAAATTATTTAAAGACTTGCCTATACTCACTGCTCTTTATTACTCCTCAAGCCATTGTTTTCTGGCATCTATCCCAACTCTATTACTGAAACTGCACTCACCAAAGCCTCCAATGACCTCTTAAGTCCCAATTCCATTAACTCCATTTCATTTTGTATCCAGCACTGCCTAGCAACAGTTGTCACCAATGTTCTCTCTGTCTTGGCTTCTGGTACACATTTTTCCTATTTCCCCTCCTCCTCCTTCTGCGATACTGTGAGTTTCTCTTCCTATGCCCAATCTTCTGTTATGAAAAGTTATATATCTAAAAGAGTACATGTGTATCTCACAAGCAGTACCGTGAAAGAACCTCTGAATGCCCTTCCCTAACTACCTCATCCTATTTGTTCCTCAAATTCCTGAATGATGTTAATTATTCTGTTTTTTAGTTTTACTATACTTCACCTACTTCAATCCCTAAAGGAAAGTGTGGTTTTTGCATGTTTTTAAATATTATATAAATCAAGTCACACAATGAATATTTTCCTGAAACTTTTAAAAGTTAGTATTAATGTGAAATTCACCCATTTTGATGTCAATGATTGCTTATCATAGTATTCCACTGTATGACTATACCACAATTTATTATTCTCCTTTTAATGAACATTACAGCTGTTTTTATTTTATTATAAATGTTGTTTCTGTAAATATTTTTTAACATATGTCCTGGTATATAAAGATTACTTAAATTATATCCCTCATCATAAGAAATTAATGTCCCTCAGGAACAGCCCTCAACTAATGACTAACAAGACTATAACTACTTTAGCTCATTCACCCATTATGTGTGCCACCACTTTGATACATGTTTTATACGGTTTCCCAGAGTTCCCCAGAGAGCTTACGGTCCAGTTGTCCATACTAGTAAATAGTCGGATAACACACCCTTGACAAGGATTTCTTGAGACCATATCCTAAATCTAGTGCTTAGATTCTTTCTAAACACCCACTTCTGAGGAATCCAAACTAAACGCAATTAATATTTTTACCTTACTTTGTACGAATTCTTTACACACTGTTAGGGTACTCTTCTATTGATTATTTTTGTTGCAAATATCTTGTTCCAGTTTGTATTTTGAAGTTAGATTGTTTTTTATGGCTTCATAGAAGTTGCTTCCACAAATTTCCTTTAAACAGAGGTAGGATTCATGAAAATAGAAAAAGAGAAAGAAGGCAGAGGAATAATGTAGAGGTGAGAATTCACCTTAAGAGAGTAAGAGAAGATGAGTTCTAGAGAAAAATACTTTCTGTACAACAGTGTTGGGCATTAAGATTTGAGAGTATCAGTAGGGGACAGGGTTTAGGGGACAGGGTTTAGAGGGTACTAAAAGCTTAACTCCAAGGTTTGAATTTTATCCTACAGGATTAAAAAAAAAAATCTATAAGAGATTGTTGTTTTTCTCTAAGTTATCCTTTGTTGAAATATATTAGTTCATATCCTCAGAATATAACAGTTTTTATGATAATGATCCAGATGTCCAACAGATTTCAATATACATTTAATTACTATCTTACCATAATGTCCTTATGGTTCTTATACTCATTGGAAAGAAGGTATCATTTATGAATTTTTTAAAAAGAAGACTAAAGGAAAAAAAAATAAAAAGAAGACTAATACATGTAAAATGACAAGAATGCTAAAACCTTTGATCTAATAATTTACTTAAATGTGGTAGCTATTAATACATAAAAATGCTTTAAAATGCCAATTTCCTAGTTTTAAGGACAGTTTGAACCAGTCCAGCTTCCCTTAGTCTACTATTCTGCATATGTATGTACAGTAAATGGAATTATATTATACTACTTCTTTGATAAAAAATATATTTGTTTATTGCTGCTTCTCAGACAAAGGCTTTTTCTTATGCTACAAGGAAATCTGGTTTCTTGTATAGAACACTTTAAGGATTTTAGAATTGGCCACACTGTACAGGTTCCAATTGTAAAACTGGACTGCTAAAAATAAGTTATATGAAAAACCAGAATACAAAGTAAGATTGTTTTTTCAGTCTGGTAATAAACAAAGATGTATTGACATTTTATATCAAACCTTTCTTATTTAAAAAAAAGATGTAGAATTAAAATACTTATTTATACAGTATATTTTATTTAATACTATGTATATTTTTATTTCAATTCACTTCAACAGGAATTTATTGAATAGTTATTCTGTACTTACATTCAAAATTAGTATCTTCTTTCTCACTTTCTCTACAGAATTCTACTCACAGATTTAGCAAAATTTTAGCCAATTACTTTATACCAAACTGCGTATACCAAACACTGAAACCAATTGCTTTATAAAAGTGTTAGGTATTTTCTATTCCAGGGATAAATTATAAATTGTTTGAAGACAATGAGTTTTAAGAATGTCCTCAATGAGCTAGCACTATAGTTTAAAACATATTATTTGAAAAATAAATTCAGTAAGTATGCAAAAGAAAATAATTTCATTTATTTTTATCTTTATGGTACAATTTTGTAGCTTCTAATAGAGAAAATGGCCCCACTTATCAATATTACCATTTCCAGAGGAGTTTACAAGGAGTGGTGAGGAAGATACTAGTAAGCTATCTAACTATCAAACTATCTAGTAGCTATCTAAATATCTAGTAAGCTAGATAAACTTGATGAAGATGACAATTACGGGTTATCCTCCTCCAAGTTCTCCAGTGAAATCCAATATTTTACACTAAGTTAGGGAGTTCTCAATAAGGAAATGATTTTACTATCCAAAAGTAACTGGTACGGCTCCTGGGTGGCTCAGATGGTTGGGCATCTGCCTTGGGCACCAGTCAGTCGTGATCCCAGGGTCCTGGGAATGAGCCCTACATCACCACACTCCCTGCTCAGTGGGGAACCTATTTCTCCCTCTCCCTCTACTGTTCCCCCTCTTGTGCTCTCTCATTCTCTCTCTGTCAAATAAATAAATAAAATCTTAAAAAAAAGGAAAAGTAACTGATTACTTTCCACATTTGACTGATCTAATAAAGAATTCAAAGAAGTTCTTTATGTATATTGGCAAATAATTCTCTCACCACTAAAGAAACACATTCATTTTATTAATCACTTAAATTCAAATGGTATATTCAAACTACACAAAGAAAGTATAATACAACAGACACCCATATATTTTAGTGGTTGAGCATAGGGGCATTGATGTTAGAAGACCTGGGTTTGAATTATAGTTCTTTCAATAGTTATCTCTGTGACCTTTATAAATCTTTGCAAGACTCAATTTCCTTATTTGTAAAATGATGATACTATTATCCACTTCCGGAGTTTCTTTAGCGATTAAATGATTATTTCTACCATATTAATTACAAACTCTACATATTTTAAATGTATAAATTATAAAATTAATAATATTATAGAATATTTGGAATAAAAAGAGAAAAGAAAAATATTGCTCATAATTCTACTTTCTTAACACAACTCTCATTACCATTTCATGTATTTTAAATCTGGTTTCCAATTAAATGTTTTAACATCACTGCAAAATTGTATCATGTTTTCTCCCTTTACATTGTAATTATCTTTCAATTTTGCTGTATAATCAGAGTGACTACATTATCTATCATTCAAACTAGGACATTTTTGAGAATTAAAAATGAGCTATTATTAATCATGTCACATCAAGAGGTATAAACTGGGATGACTTGAGCAAACGGAGACATATGGTTACCCTATGTATAATCTTTGTATCCATCCAGTGGATGTGCCATAATTTATTAGCAATGTCATTATTATTATGCATTAAAATGTGTCATATTTTCAAAATGTATCTTTTGATTTAAACCAAAATCAAATGTTTTTTTCAGAATTGGTGAAAGGATCTCAGGAATTTAAATGCTATCTTCATGTGTTTCTATCTGTAAAAGGGTATGTAGATAATGTTTACCTACTTTATGAGGTTGTCCTAAAGATGAAAATGAGATAATGCATCTCAAAGTCTGAGACACAATAGGCTCTCAGTAAATGCTGGTTCATGCTTTTCTCATTAAGTAGTTGTTTTCAATTTTATTATGATAATTTTCACTAATGACTTAGTTAAGGCATTCAGACTATACTATAAAGTTCACATCTAAAACTAAAGCTAAGAG